ACTCTCTCTCTCTCTCTCCACGTGCGCGTACATACACACACACACACACATGCATGACGGACTGCTGAGAGAATGAAGATGGATGACGAGGAGGTGGTGGTGGTGGGGGGGGATTATAATGATGATTAATTACTACTGATTAGCAACGCGTGTATGCGCGCGTGCTCGATCGCATTAGTGATGGGATGCTGCGAGCTCTAACGTAGGGCTTCTCCTGTAACGAGAGAGCTATGTGATGGAGAGGAGGAGTAGGAGGAGGAGGAGGAGGAGGAGGCGAGGTCTAGTTTAGGGCTTCTCCTGTAACGAGAGAGCTATGTGATGGAGAGGAGGAGGAGGTGGAGGAGGAGGATGCTGCAAGCTTTAATATGGGGTTTCGTCTGAAACGAGAGAGAGCTCTGCATGGTGATGAGAAGAATGGGATTCTATATTGCTGCTGCCACTGCTGCTGCTGCTGTTGTTATTGTTCATGTTTTCACTGTTGTTGTTGTTGTTGTTGTTGTTGTTGTTGTTGTTAACTTGTTGTTGTTGTTGTTAACTTGTTGTTGTTGTGTATATATTGTTGTTGCTGCTACTGGCGTCACTATTGTAGCTGTTGTTGCCAGTGTTGCTGTTGTTGACGGTCTTCTGTTTTTTTCTCTACAGGGCGGACCCAACATGCCAGATCCTAGTCAAGGCAGAGCGCCGTACAGTGGGCCCGGCGGTCAGGTCTACCCACAGCAGCACCAGCCGAGCCAATACGTAGGCTACCCGGGTGCACAGCGCGCCTACATGCAGCAGGGGGCACCACCGGTGAGGCCCATGGGCAACCAGCAACCCTACCCACAACCGGTAAATGCCGTCTTCATGGTTTCGCCGTCGCGCCGCGCGCTCGCAAAATCCGTAAAAAAAAGCACCGAGCATCTAACGAATAACGAACTCTCAGAAGCTTTTAGGGCGCGTTTGTTTGGGACGAATCCGGCTGATCGAGATCATGTGATCCTGATCCGACCAAACAAACGCAAAACTCACTTTCACCGGTTTACGTTTCGCTGTGACCTATCACGGGATGGTTCATAACAGAACAAGCTGTGATTGGCTGAGGTGCGGGCCGCCATATTGGATCCCGTTCGAATCCGCCTCGCTAGCAGGGTCGGGTTCGGTGGATCGAGATCAAGTGATCCGACCAAACAAACAGTCAGTCAGTCGGATCAAGATCCGTGGATCCGACTAAACAAACGCGCCCCTTGTCTGCAATTGGATACTATTGCATATATATATATCCGGCTGTACGGAATTTGTATAATTACGTCTCGCGTGCGTGTGCATCTGTCTAATTGCAGAGTAATTAGCGTATCTCTAACGGCTTCTAAGAATGAGCTGAAATCCCTCAGGAATGCGCCGAAGTAATCTTTTTTCAAATTTTTAAAAAATGCCGGTGTTTACGCGTTTGTGAATGGGCTTGCGGTATTACGAGATGCTCGGAGTTCGTCTTTGGCAATAGTTGGCATTTTGTTAGTCGGTATGGATGCACTGAAATTTTATCGAATGCTATTAGATATGCTGCGTGATTTCCCCAATTAGACAACAAGATGCACTATTCTAACTTCTCCAACCAGAGCTGAAAATCAGCTGTGGTCATGTTCTGTTGTCATTGTTGGGACGGGAAAAAAATACGTGTGCATCGGGGTTACTGTGAAGTTTATTTTGAGCCACGAAATTGATTATTTATTATTTTTATTGTCATTTATTATTTATGGTTATTATTTTTTATCATTTTATTGTTTGAGCAGCAGTAGTACTTCATGTTGTCTCGTCGTTGTTGTTGTTGTTGTTGTTGTTGTTGTCGTTGTTGTTGTTGTTTGTCGTTGTTATGGTAGTGGTGGTGATGATGGTGATGATGATGGTGATGGTGATGATGATGATGGTGGTGATGATGATGTCAGATGATGATGAGGATGATGTTGTTGTTGTTTTTTTGTTGTCTCAACTAACACGCAGTGTTACACTGTTTAGATGTTCCCCTGAGTGTTCTGTGCATAGCAGCATATGTCAGCAATGTTTATAGTGAGTCGCATGGCTGCTTTCTGTGACACAGGTCTGCTCTAATAAATCATCGTTAGACAGAAGCACGAGTTAGTGTTTAGAGATGTGCACCTTTACCGGCAAAGATGCAGGTCAGAATTTCTGCTCCTTGGCAGCGTGAGAGTGTTTTTAGCAGAGAGAACATTCGATTGCAAGCGTCTCATGCGTCTCTTTCTCTCTCCTAAGCCTCCCCCCCCCCCCTACTCTCTCTTTCCCTGTTCTCTCTCGCTCTTTCTTTTCCCTTATCTCGCTCGCTTTGTCTTGCTCTTGCTCTCGCTCTGGCTTTGTATGAGTCAGAGTGTTTCACACTCGTATCCTTTCCACTTGTATCTGTCTCCCTCTCACTCTCTCTCTCTCTCTCTCTTGCTCTCGCTCTCTCTCTCTCTCTCTCTCTCTCTCTCTCTCTCTCCTCTCTCTCTTTCTTTCTTCTTTCTCTCTCCCTCTCGTTTCTCTCTCTCTCCCTCGAATCTCTCATGTCTTTCTTCTGTATGTCTCCCACTCTCTGTTCGCATATCTCGCTCCCTCCCTCTTCTACCTCATATTCTTCAACATATATTTCTCCTTACCTGCGACGAATAGAGGGAGGGGGGAGGCAACATTTTCAGTGCTTAATTAGGCCACCCTTAAAAAATGGTTTGTTTCCCCTTTACCTACTCGCCTCTCAGGGTACCGAGTAGGTAGGTAGGTGAAAAATCTTTTTTATCTGTTTTGACACAGATGTGTTTTTATGTATATTGTATATTCTGTTTTGTGTATATGTTTTTTGCTGAACGAATTTGATTTTTTTTTCTTGTCGAAACCAAATAATTTTTGTTTTGTTTAATCGGCCAATAAAATGTGTCGAGTAGCGGCGTTTTGGCGAGTCGGTCAGTAAAGGGGAAACGAGCAATATTTCATCTTAGGCCTTAGACAATAGTACACGAGGATGGCAAGTTTGTCAAAGTCGAATCTGTGCTCTTGCTTGTGGCTCGATGGCTTTAATTATACTTATCTAATTAATTAAATTAATCGGCATTGTGATCTACCAGGGCGCACGTGTCTATCGTCAGTCTATAGACTACTACTATATACTACTATATGTTATCTATCGGGCGGATTTGTTTATTTGTTTGTTTATTCTTGCGAAGCAAAGAGGGAAATTCGTGCAGGTTCGAGTGTATGTCAGAACGCCCCTGGCGGCGCTGCATGAGCGCATGGCTGTTGCGTATCTGTGTTGTTGTTGTTGTTGTTGTTGTTGTTGTTGTTGTGTGGTGTGGTGGTGGTGGGGTGGTGTCGTGGTGGTGTGGTGGTAGGTGGTGTGTTTGTTTTTGTTGTTTTTATCATTGTGCTTGCTGCTGCTGCTGCTGCTGCTGCTACTGTGTTGTTGTTGGGCTGTTTCTGTTTCTTGTTAAACGTTTTTGTTGTTGTTATCATGTGCTTGGCTGCTGCTGCTGCTGTTGTTGTTGTTGTTGTTGCTGTTTCTGTTAATGTTTTTGTTGTTGTTATCATTGTGTTTGCTACTGCTGCTGTTGTTGTTGTTGTTGTTGTTATTGTTGTTGTTGTTGGATGGTGGTGTGGTGTGGTGGTGGTGGTGGTGTGTTGGTGGTGGTGGTGGTGGTGGTGGTGGTGGTGGTGGTGGTGGTGGTGTTGCTGTTTTCTGTTAGATGTTTTTGTTGTTGTTATCATTGTGGTTGCTACTGCTGCTGTTGTTGTTTGTTGCTGATTATCATCATCATCATCATCATCATCATCATCATCATCATCATCATCAGCCTTATCAGCATCATCATCATCATCATCATCATCATAATCATCATCATCATCATCATCATCATCATCATCATCATCAGCGGACAGGTCGTTGTTCGTGTGCATGCGTAGTGTGTAAAAAATGTGATGCCCTGAATTCTAGAAATCGGCCTCTAAGAAATCATCATCAAAACAGTCTAAGGCGTCTGTTACCCCCACCCAGGGGCCGCCCCACCACCAGGCGCCAGCACCGTACGACCAGCAGAGGGCGCCAGCGCACATGGGCTACAACGCGTACATGCAACAGCCAGGAGGCGGCGGAGGCGGGGGCGGAGGAGGTGCCGGCCCGCCCCCAACGTCGCAAGGAGGGGAAGGCCCACCACAACAGGTAAGACATTCCTGTTACGCAGTTCACACGTAAAGAAGAGGAGGGTTGGAGAAGGATGCTGGGGAGGAGGAGAAGGGGAGGAGGGGAGCTAGGGAGGAGAAGGAGAGGAGAGGAGAGGAGAAGGAGGGGAGGAGCTGGGGAGGAGAAGGAGGAGAGGAGGGGAACGGGGAACGGGTAAGCAAGCGGCATTCTTACTGTGTAATAGGCGTCCTAAAGAGGAGGTAAGGAGAAAAGGAGCAAGAGAGGGGAGGAACAGGGAGGCGGGCAAGAGAGGGGAGGAACAGGGAGGCGGGCAAGAGAGAGAGGGGTGAGTGGATGGATGATAAAGAACATGTCATTTTACAGAACAGATAGAAAATGCGTTATTACTGACAAATGGGAATTTTTTTTTGTAAGAACACAAAATATAAGGGTTCAAGACAGACACGATTGTTTTGCACGTGTCACTCACTATTCTGATCTGTATATTATGATATTATGATATCTCACACGGTGATGTCACGCGATAACGGTGATGTCACGCGATAACGGTGATGTCACGCGATAACGGTGATGTCACACGATAACGGTGATGTCACGCGATAACGGTGATGTCACACGATAACGGTGATGTCACGCGACAACGGTGATGTCACGCGATAACGGTGATGTCACACGTTAACGGTGATGTCACGCGTGGATACCGGTGATGCTCACGACCGCGATAACGTGATGTCACGCGATAACCGGTGATAGGCCACTCGTTACGGTGAGTGTCACGCGATAACGGTGATGTCACACGATAACGTGCGCGTGTACAATACCACGTACTACATCTTTATTAATTAGATTAATTTTGTTACATCTTTTATTAATTAGTAATTTACCTCACGCCGGCCTGCCCTAGCATCAGGGTATCGTAGCGCTCTTCCAAAGTCTCTATAAGTACTTGATTTTTGCCACAAATAAAAATAAGCGGCACCCTTATTAGTACTTGATGTTATGTGGTGTTGAAACATATAGAAAAGTACTTAATCAAGTACCTATTTTTCAGCTCTTACTAGATTCTCGGACTATAGAGTAGACATTACTTGTACTATATAATAACGGAATGAATTAAAACTGCTGTGCAATTGTGTATATAAATATGATTAGTGTACTTTAATAGTCCGGGATCTATCAGAAATGCCGCTAAAAAGTCTTATTTTGGCCTCCAGAAAGGGTCTTATTACGTCCTTATTTCAACCATTTGTCTTAACTACTATGAACCCCTGTCAGATAACTTCCTCCTCCTCTCCTCTTACTCCTCCCCCTACTTCCTCTGCTCCTCCTCTACTCCTCTTCTCCACACTTCTCTTTGCCTCATACCTCCTCCTCCATCCAACCTCACCATCACACCTCCTCTTCTCTCCTCCTCCCCCTCCTATCTCCATCTTCTAAATTCTCGTGTTGGATAGATGGGTATGGCGGCTGACTCCTCCATGTCACCTCCTCCTCCTCCCTCTTCCTCCTGCCTTCTCCTTCTCTCCTCCTCCTCCTCTCCTCCTCCTTCCTCCTCCTCGTCCTTCCTCCCTCCTCTCTTCCTTCTCCTCTTCTTCCCCTCCTCTCCTCCCCTGAACTCAGGCTGGTTGGAGCAGACTAGCTGAATGAATCTGCTGTGACAATAACGCTTCCCCTTCTCCTCGTCTCCTCCTACCTCTCCTCTTCTGCCTCCTCCTCCTCCTCCTCTCCTCTCCTCCTCCTCCTCTTCATCCTGCTCCTCCTCCCCCACCCCTTGGGGGATTACACACGTGTGCTGTGTGATTGGGTCCGTGATTATAATATTCATTTCGCTTGTCTATCTGCGTTTGCTCGCATCAAACGCTATTAGTTTATTACGCGATACGATTCCGCGCGACGCAGCGAGCATGTGTACGCACACAGCATCCCTAGCAGTGTATTGTCCTCGCGGGGGGGTGGTGCGGATGGTTGGGGGGAGGGGGTTGAATCACATCGCACCGAGGCAGTTCCGTACGAAATTAACTTTTGCGACGGGAAATCTGGCGATGCCCACGAGAAATTTTCAGCTCTCAGCGGTATGGGGGAGAGGGAGGGCAGAAAGGTGGAGGAGGTGGGAGGCAGACGGAGGAGCGTTGGAGAAGGAGGAGGAGGTGGTGGAGGAGGAGGAGGAAGTGGAGCGAGAAGTGAGGGGAGGGGAGGAGGGGAGGATGAGGAGGGAGGAGGGGAGGAGAAGGTGGAGAAGGTGGAGGAGGGGGTAGGGGGGGTTGAAATGAGCAGAGCGTAGGGAAAGGGCTTCTGTCGTCAATGATGCGTGTCTGTTAAAACGTTAGCTATGCATATATATAGTTAGTAGTTTAATTAATTAGCATAGTAATTATGAGTAACGTAGCATTAATTAGTTATAGTAGTTGTAAATAATAATATAGTAGTTATGTATAGTTAGTTATGTGAGTTATTGATTGCAATGAACCCTCTCCGGTACTAGCGGACACACGGAATTTGCGGGGTTTTAATGGATGTTTAGCTGGATTTTCACAATCACACGCATTTTTTCTCTTCGTTTACGGCGGATTTTGGCGAGTAAATCAATACAAATTACGTAAACACATATAACCGGTTACCTTGTTACCACGTCGAAAGCACGTTGTGCGTCTTGAGGGTTGTAATTGATTTAGTAATAATACTATTTGATTTTGGTAATTGCATTAACGTTCGCATTTATTCGTAGATTATTCACGACGTGAAATTCGCCGTAATAAATGTTCGCATCGCACGCACGCACGCACGCACGCACGCACGCATCGCACGCACGCACGCACGCACGCACGCACGCACGCACCGTGGCATCTCTAGTATTGTGTGATATCCCTCGACAGTTTGCCGTCTTTCTCTTTCTCTCGCGCGCGCGCTCCCTCCCTCCCTCTCTTCCTCTCTCTATCTCTCTTTGTCTCTTCCGCTCTCTCTTTCTGTCTCTGTTTCTGTTTCTCTTTTCCCCTGTCTTTCTCCCCTCATATTTCCAGTCCTCTCTCTTTCCACTGTCTGTCACTCTCTTTCTCTCTCTCTTTTTCTCTCTCTTTTCTCTCTCTTTCTCTCTCCCACTCTCTCTGACTCCACTCTCTCCCATTCT